GAGACTCTCTAAATAAATTCAGCCAAGTCTATAGAGACCAGCCCTCCTCACACGCCTGCATGGATTTTGATAAAGGGCCATGTTTTAGTAAAGGAAGTGAGTCCTCTGCAGGGCCCCAGAACTCCTGAGCTGTTCCCCACATATAAGGAACATTCAGGGACAGATGTCCCTCCACATGGGAATCACCATCCCCCAGAATATGCACTTGGTCCTGGTGCTCACGGGGCTGCAGTCTAAATCTACTGGGACGTCTTCACCTTCCATGGCTGGACCAGCACCTGCGGTTTCTCCTTCCTGGGTCAATAACCCCTCATCCTGATGCTCCATGGAATTTTCATCACTATCCAAGACATGAGGATTCCTGGACTTGCAGAAAACCCGGAGAGTGTCCTAGAGGTTTAACATGTGGAGTTTGGTTTCATCTTCTCCTTAATTTTCCTAAGACCCAGGGGCTCTTCTCTGAAATATTCCTGGTCAGACCTATTCACCTCACTTCCCCGTGCCCAATGTGGGAAGAATTTTGGGCTACACCCTTCTTGACCCCGGAGGACAGGAGGAACCATTCCAGGGGGCTCCCTCATAAATACAATACTCAGCGCCTATGGGATTGTGGACTCCATGGGCTTGGCCTGTGGTGCTGACCTTCTCCTCTTCCTCCCTTTTTCGGCCCTGTGGGGAGCTCCTTCCTGTTTCTCCACACACACCGCAGGGAGAATAAGGCCACCTCAGGGTCCACAGCCTCCATGATGGGGGGGGAGCTCCCCACCTTCCTCCCTCCCACATCCCTGATCCTCTGCTTCCTACTCCCTGACTTGCCCTGTGCCCAGACTGCTCTCTCTGCACCCCTCCTCAGCCAACACATTCACAGTCACTTCCCAGCCCCACGCCCTCCAGACCTCACCTTTCTCCTGACAGCACCTCAGGGCCTGGGGTCTCTTGATCCTCCCTGGGTGAGGCTTTGGACAGAGGGGCTCAGCCCTGGAGGGTTCTGTGCTCGCTCACCATCACCTGCCTGCATGGCCACAAAGTGCTCCTCTCCTGGGGTCCCCCAGCCTGTCCCCTCTCTTTATGGACCATTCAACTGTTGTGTGGGGGCAGCACCCACCCACTTTACCCATGTCACTCACCCACCAACCCCTCTGTCCTTTTGCCCAGCCAGCTCTGTCCTGTGACGTGAGCCTTTGTCTTGGTTTTGCCTCCTGTTCAATTATTTCTCTTCTTTTTATCATGTTTTGCATAACTTCTATTAATACATCACTGACAATTTGGCTCAGTTTTGTTGTGAACATGGTTTTATTGATAACAGTCAGATGAGAGTAGAGAAGCAAAATCTTTAAAAATACAATAGTACCATATAATGGAGTATAGGAAACATATAATGCTTAACACAGACTCATTAAAGACATGTTCTATTTGTCCATTCCTTGGATGCCTTTATTTTTAGGAAAGGTTATAAAAGTCATATAAATCATTTAGGCTTAATTTCAAAATTTATTGATTTTATAATGTTGTGAACTAGAATCAAGATGGGGATACCGAAGGCAAATATTTCCTTTGTCCTAAACATATTTTATTTTTTTAGTTTACTTTTGTATAATACTGTCTTACAATATTGTTTGTGACTTAGAGATACAGGATCTCCCCCTCCAGGTGTCGTTACAGACCACATCCTTCCCTCAACACCCACAGTCTCTCCCACAGGCCACTGTGCCCCCCCTTTGCTCTCTACCATCCCTCACTGTGGTTGCCTCAGTTCTGTAGTCAGAGACCTGGGTTTGAGATTCTTTTGGCTTTATTGACCCCTTCCTTCCTCTCTCTAATTCCACATAGGTCAGAAGGAGAAAGAAAAAACCTAGATGGTGTCACTAGGTTTTTTTTTAATGTGGTCTAGAGTGACCCTCCTTCCCTCGTATGAAAATGGAAATGAAGCTTTTCCAATATGAAAACTATCTTCCTGAGCTTTTGAGAAAACTCAGTGTTGGGGATAGAAAGCTTTCCCCATAAAAGCTCAGGAAAATGGTTTTCGTATCAGAAAAGTTTCATTTCTACTTTCATATGAGGGAAGAAGGGTCACTCTAGACTACATGAAAAACCTAGTGACACCATCTAGGTTTTTCCCTTCTCCTTCTGACCTGTTTCGCTTTGCCTAATCCCCTGCAGTTCTATCCATGTTATCACAAATGTCAGGAGTCTATCTTTTTCTTAAGTGTGTATTATTCTCTTGAGTTCATATTCCACATTATCCTGCGCCCTTCATTTGTTTTTTTGGGCATATTTGTTGTTTCCATTCATTGGTATTGTAGTTAGTTCTTTAATAAAGAGAGGAGAGCATATGTCCCTTTGACTGAGTGCATTTGTATTTTTTTAATATATCTCTAGGAGTGGGATTGCAGGTTAGATGCTAGATTCATTGTTCATATTTTAAGTAACCTCCATACAGATCTCTATGGAGTCTGGACCAGTCTGTATTCCCAACTTCGGTTTTTTTTTAAATTAATATTTTATTTTATATAATTCTTACATCATTTTTCATTTTTGCACAATTACGTATTTTCATTTTGGTTATATTCCCCACACAATTGCACCCCCCCTTATTTTGACCCTAGTCCTTCCTCTCTCCTTCCCTTCCCCACCCCCGTAGTGTGTCTCTGGTTTATAGTTGCTTGTTGATTTTGATTTTTACATCCACATTCTCCCCTTGCTTGTTATACTTTCCTTCTGTTTTTATATATCAACATTCTCACAGATGTGCAATGTTACATCATTGTGGTTTTGATTTTCATTTCAGTGATGATGAATGATGATGGGCAGTTTTTCATGTGCCTGTTGACTGTCATGTGTCTACTTGGAGAAGTGCCTATTTAACTGTCCAGCTCTATTAACTTGGCCCATATTTTATATTCCATATATGAATGAAATTGTATGGTGTTTGTCTTTCTCCATCTGACCTATTCAACATAGCCTACTGTACTCTACATTAGCTCTACTGTTGTAAAAGGCATATTTTTTTAATAATCAAGGCATGGCAGTTAGCAGCTATTAGTGGGAGCTTTAGTGCCTCCAGGGAAATTATCTAAGTCTGTCTCTGGATGATTAAGACAGACTCTGGATCTGGGGTTGATAATAATCCTTGCTTCTTCTAAGACCATGGACTCTAGCCCACTGGCCAAATAAATTCCATTCATCTTGGCTGAAACATATTATTTTTAAAAAATAACAGCTGTTCAAAACTTTGCAATTAGAAACTGATATACAGGTCCTGACAAGACTCTTTATCTGCTTTTCTGCCCAATGCTAAAAAAGAAATACTGTCCCTCTGTGAAACCACAAATGCACCTAAACAGTCCGAATACCTTCATGTTTCCCAATCCCTGGGTCTCAGGTACTATCTAATGTGTACCATCTCTCTTGAGATAATTCAGAAGGGTTTCTGAACAGAAAAAGTGGACAGAAGAATTTTATCTTTCCTACAGGCAGCTGCTTTGGAAATGTCTCCTGCTGTGACCTGGATGACCTCTGCATGGTGTTGGCACAGACATGTTTGTGCTGGTGGCCCCTGCCTGGCCCAGTCTCTGCTCCAGGTGCTCACGAGGTTGCTCCTCATAAGATCTGGGGGTCCTTTAAGACACAGTTGAGTATTTGATTGTAGCTGATATGCAGCTCAAAGAGTAACCACAGTAGTGACACCTCTTGAGTCAGTGCAGGGTGTTGGGTTTCCCCGTGTATGTGACGTATTATGTTCACGGCAGTTTGACCTCCTGACGGTTTTGCCAACATCAATAGTTGATGGGCTTCCCAAGTAAACCCTTATAAAATCCAATTTCCCTAGATTTCATGGCTCATAAAAACTCACTCCATTTTCCTTAGTTCTAGCAGAGAATAGAGGCCAAATCACAGAGTATGTGAGAGGCTGGGAAGATGTCCCCACTTGGCTGCATTTCTGTGTCACAAATGGAAGTTTCCCTCTGGCCTGGGAAAGTGGAGTGTGGGGGCAGGATAGGGGACAGAGCAGGTTTTCTATGACCCAAGCAGACCAGACCAGGTAAAAGAAGAGTCCTGGAGTCCCGGTGGTTTTCTCAGGCTTTTATTGAACTTTACATGTAGTGTGGCAAACAGGTACATGGCAGGCAGGCGTGCCGGGGGGCCAGGAGGACAGGAGGCCTGCAAGCCCCTGGCAAGTCTTCACTCTGGGCTTCTCTCTCTCTGTTCCAGATTTCTTTCTCCCCTTCTCTCTCCTGCCTTTCTCCTGCTTCTGCTTCTCTCCGTGACTATCTCAATACTCCTTCCATGGTCCACAGAAGTAAACAAGTCAGCTTACAACAACGTAACAACACCAGGCAGGGCAATCCTAATGGTGGGACAGCAGAAAAGTCTGAAAACCATTTACCCTACATGGAGTCCCTGTGTTGGGTCAGATAACCCCAGGTGGGTGACTGCAAGGACTCCATGGGGTGGGATGTCTGCTCTCTGGGACACAGTTTCATCTGCATTGGGGAAGGTGGGCTCATGATCTAGAAGATCAGCCTCTCCTGAGAACATGTGAGATTCAGAATCAGGTCCAACCCAGCCTGCCCAGCACAGTTTGCTTTTTATTTATTTTCTTATATTACTTTTTTAAAATTTTTTACATCATTGTACATTTTTAAACAATATTTGCTTCCCCCACCCCCTCAGGTGTAGTCCCCATAGAGTTTCCTTCACCAATGCACCCATGCAGCATCACCCAGTTTGCTTTTTAACAGGATCTGAATAGCAACCCCTACCCCTAACTTCCACCCCTACCCCCAGCCCCTCACAGCAAGGTGGAGGTTCCTCAGCCTCACACATGGTATAAAATCTGCTTATTTGGGGAGCTCTGAGCAGCATTTCCAAGGTGTCTGCTGGGCATTCATATCTTTACAGTAGCACAGGTGACTTGATGCATGGGGATGACACCTGAGACCCCAGTGCTGATGTGTCCCCAGGCTCCTGCTTGAGGGAAAGCAAGATGGTGGAGAGAATCCAGCTCCAGAGCTGAGGGAATGCCCAGGACTTGGAGTCCCAGGTCTGCTCAGTCCATCAGTGTCTGTGTGTATGCATGTGTGTGTGTGTGCGCGCGCACATGTGTTTGTGATAAAGAAAGAGAAACAGAGAGAAGTGGGAGAGAAAGGGAGAGAGGGAGAGAGAGAGAGAGAAGGGCAGGGAACTCAGCTATTCCTAGGTCCTGACTGTAGGCAACAGGAAACAAAAATGAGAAAGGAGGGATGATGGGTAGGGGAGAGGGAGGGTCATGTGCTAAGACCCCACCCCTGGACTACATGACCCTTGCCCAGCAGGAGGCTCAGCACAGAGGAGGAAGCACCTCAAAGCTGACACTCAGGAGCAGCTGTATTTGGGAGCCTTTCTGGAGCCCCATCTCTTAGAGGGAGCACAGAACAGGCAGCAGACGCCATGGAGGCCCCCTCAGCCCATGGACACAGAGGCCGAGTCCCCTGGACGGGGCTCCAGCTGGCAGGTGAGAGGGACAAGTGCCTGAGGTGGGTGGGAGATGGGAAAACAGAGAAGAAGTGGGACAAGTCGTCTCTTGGGACGGCAGGTCCCTGAAGAGGCAGCAATGGCTTCCTCTAGAACCCGAGGGGACCCCATGATGGGTAGAATGGGGCCAAGGGGCCCAGACACATGACCTGAGGGGGTGAGGGTGAGAACACCCTCAATAGTGTGCCCTGTCCGATTACTCATCCCTGACGAATTATTTTAAAAACAGATCAATTTATATTTATATATCAATTCATATCAGCAATATATTCTGAAGAAAACAACCAGGGCACTAAACATTAGACTTACTCCCCAATTTCTAATTTGACAAAGAATTACTTACTGGGTTATGGGGGGCCTGGGGACACTCACCCATTCATCCACAGGGACTGGCAGCCTGACCCACCACTGGGGGGACAACAAGAGCAGACAAGTCCCTGCCCTCAGGGAGCTCATGTTCTATGGGGAGGAAGACAGATAACAAAGATCTAGAATGTGCTGTCAGGTGCTGACAAGTGTCCTGAAGGGCACAGTGCAGGGGAAGGTGACACCATGAAGACAGGGGGTCTTCAGAGCAGGGAGGCATCTCCCAAGGATGCCCCGAGGGTGAGCAGGGGTCTGAAGGCAGGGAGGGGTCACACAGACACACTTTAGAAAACGGTGGTTGAAACAGAGGAAACTAGTCGAGAGAGGCTGAAGATCTACTATTAAGGCTGATGACTTTGAACACACACACATCAAAATGAGGGTTAAGAATGTGTCTTTCCTCTATGGTGGGGGCAGGGAAAGGAGGGATTGGGGTCAAAATAAGGGGGTTGCAATTGTATGGGGAATATAAAAATAAAATAAAATAAAAGAATGTGTCTTTCTCTCCCAAGTGATGGGGGCAATGTTGACTGATTTCTCTGTTCCTTCCTAGTCTCACTGTTAATCTTCTGGATCCCGCCCAGAAGTGGAGGCTTCACTGTGGAATCCCGGCAAAACAATGTTACTAGTAATTTCTGCACCATTATTTCTGCTACGTATATGCCACCAGGCACGGATGTCCTGATCTGGTACAAAGGAAATATCACCAATGGGGAAAATCGAATTGCATCGTATTTTAAAAACCATGGAAGTGTGATACCAGGCCCTGCATGCAACAGTCGACAGACAATAAACACGGACGGGTCTCTGGTAATCCACAGGCCCACCAGGAAGGACTCAGGATATTACACCCTGGAAGCTGTGAGGGGAGTTCAGTCTCTGGGTTCAGTGTCCATTCAGGTCTTCCTCCTAGGTGAGTAGTCCTTCCTGCCCTTGGGGTGTGGGTGGTGACTCTGTGGCACACACAATGATGGACAGGCCTGGACCTGCCTCTAGCCCCCCCTGCTTATGTCCCGCATGGGCTTGGGCACATAGACCAGGACACCTAAGACAGACCAATTTCAAAAAATCAGATTCCTTTCCTTTCCCTGCAGACAGACGGACACATGTACCAAAGCTCAGATGCTCTTATCTACAGTAGAGAGGACAGGTTGGACAGTGAGGAATGAGGGATTCTCCTCCCCTCAGAGACAGAACCTGTGTGCAAAGTCCTGAGAGGCTCTGACCACTGTGTTCTGCCTCCCCAGGGCTGGGACCATGTCCATCCTCTGACCTCCTGCCTCACAGCACCCTGGGAGCCCCTGTCCTGGTGACTGCTGGGCAGTGGGGGTGCCAGGCTGCCCTGGCCCTACTTTCGGTGGCCCCAGAGCTTTGGGCTTTGGGAGTTTGGGGTCACTTGTAACCTGCTCGCTCAGCACCTGGGACCTTCCCTCTCTGCTCTTTCCTTTCCCTCCCTTCAACTCCCCTCCCTCAGGCACCACATCCTCTGCTCTGCACAGCTTCCTGTCGTCGTCCTCAGACACTGCCCTCACTCTGGGGCCAGGTCCAAACTATTGGGCCAAAGGCAGGCACCAGCACCCAAGGAGCTGAGCCCTGTCTCTCTCCATCACAGACCACATGGTTTCAGGGGAATATCCTTGCTCTCCTCTGATACATCTTCCCTTTATGAGGCCAACGTGGGCACAGGGCCACAGGGATAGCTCAGACCCCTCGATTTACTCTCTCCATGATTCTTCCAGGAGTGAGGACAAACCCCCAGGGTCTAATCAGTCCTTCAGTCACATCCCACATCCTGCATTCTCTTCCTCACCTTGTTTTTATGATTTTCATCAAAGACCTGGGTCCAGCTTGAATGTGGTTGAGAGAGTTCTTTCAGTTCTAGACAGTCCAGATTATGGGAGTGGAATTTTGCTGAAAAAGGAGAAATGACCCAGAAGGTAGGCATTTCTCTCAAGGTCATTTCAAGAAGTCTTTCTGTATCTGGATATTAATCCCGTTTCAGTTAAATCATCCCTCCCAGTCATGACTATCCTGTTCACCGTCTTGATTATGTAGGTCTTATATTTAGAACTTTGATATTTTGTTTTCCATTTACCATCATATTCTGGCATGAAATATCCAGTTTTACCAACACAATTTTTAAAAAAGATTTATTTATTTATACAAGCACTGGGTACAGTCAGAAGCGCGGGAGGGTGAGAGAATTCACCAGAGCCAGAGTGGGGAGCAGAATGGGCAGACTGACGAAGTATGAAGTACACTGCTGAAGGGAGCAGCAGGCACGGCAGGAGAGGTCTGTGGCACCATGTGGGACCCTCGCCGGCGGCCAGGGATTGAACTGGCACTACAGAGGCTGCGGGCAGCTTCGCAGCCCAGGACTCAACCGCTGCACCACCAGGGAGGCCCTTTACCAACACAATTTTGAGGAGATTGTTCCCTGACACTGCTTATGATCCTTGTTCCAACCATTTGACCAGACACTCCTGGGTCCGTTGGGGACTCTGTTCTAGTCCATTGGTCTGTGTGTCTTGTCAGTCACGTGACTCGTGCTCTATGTTGTAGGGTTTCAATCAGAAAGTTCTGCCACTTTGTTGTTTTTTTTAAGATCAGTCTTGGCTACTTGGGATCTCTTCACTTTCGCTTCACTTCACTTCACCTCACCTCACCTCACCTCACCTCACCTCACCTCACCTCACCTCACCTCACCTCACCATACAAGAGCTGGGGAGCAGGCCAGAGGTGTAGGGGGTGAGAGAATTCACCAGAGACAGAGCAGGGAACAGAACAGGAAAACTGACAAAATACACTGCTGAGGGGAGCAGCGGGCGGCAGGAGAGGTCTGCGCCGCATGTGGGACCCTCACCGGCAGCCGGGGATCAAACCGGTGCTACAGAGGCTGTGGGCAGCTTCGCAGCCCAGCGCTCAACCGCTGCACCACCAGGGGAGGCCCCTGATTTAAGATATTTTGATGGATAATCAAACATATTCTACACGCAATCATACCACTGGCACACAGATAATATCTAGGGTCCCTTTCCATTGGCCTGGATTTCCTTTCTCCCACTTTCATTTTATTTTTTGTATTTTGGGAAGCAAGAGGCAAAAATTCCTGCGGTATCTTGAAGACCAGTGGGCAAAGCTGCTTCCTCCTGTCCCTTGAATTTAGAGAGTTTTGTTTCTTTCACCATTGGGTATGATGTTTCCTGAAGATTTTTCCTATGAGAATTTTGTTATGTTTCTGTAGTTTACTTGTATTCAAAAGAATGTAAATCTTTAAATAAGAACTCTCAAAAATTTTCCCTGAAATTTCTGCAGAAGTAATATTTAACCACAGACCTGGATGTTAAATTCTCTCAAAAGGAGAAATCATTTAAATTGATGGTTCTTCAGGTACTCAGGTCATTAGGACTGGGCTGGGCCATCTTTATTGCCTAGAAATCATTTAACAGAGGCCATGCGCCTTCCTAATCTTGAAAATCTTTTTGCTTAATGAGAACTGACAATGTTGGCAACTTCAAAATACCCTGGAGCTTATATGAGGAGGGGTGTTCATTGTATAAGTCAGATAAAGGGGGACATGGAAATCCATGGGAGATCATTTGCCCTTGACCGGTTGTTGGGATATGAGAAGAGTTCCCTGGTTCTGCTACCACCACTTCTCCAATGGGGCTTGCTATGGGTCTCGTGCACTATTTTGGTGCAAGCTTGGCAGCTGTGGGGTGTTTGTGGCATCTTCTGCTCTAGCCACCAACAAAGTCACTCCACCTGCTGCACAGGTCACTGTCACCATGTGGAGACAGACAGACGCATGTTACCTGTGAGTGGCTGAGCTCTAAGGAAGGAAGGCAGCCCCATGCCAGGTCCCTCTCAGTTTGTCACCTGCTCTGTTTCTCTACAGACCCAGAGACACCATTCTCTGTCCAAGAAAGCCCATCCACAGTCCAAGAAAATGACATTGTGTTCATAGTGTGCCAGACAAATGGAAAGCGTTTCTCTGTCAACTGGTATGTCAATGAACAGAAGCTGCAGAAAAAACACAATATGTACCTATCCTCAAATCAGTACACGCTCACCATAAACCCCATCAGGAGGCAGGATTCTGGGATATATCGCTGTATGTACCATCGAGGAATGAGATTCGGAAGAAGTGAAAGTCTCACACTTCTCGTGGTCCAGAGTGACCGTTCTCCCCACAAATGATTCATTAAATTATAAATCAAAATTTTTTCTGACATAAAAACCATTTTCCTGAACACTTGTGAAAACTCAGTGATGGGATGGAAAATCCTAGAAGACTCGTATTGAGTCAATAAAGCACAACATGACCTTGTCCTTGTGCAGTGAATGTCACAGTCCAGCAGAGGGTGCCTCCTTTGGTCTCAGTTGTACCTTCCCAGAGGGGAGGGGACACTTGTCCCTCAGAGGACAGGCACAGGTCATGTGACAGTGGTGGGGGCACATGAGAAGTCGTCAGCAACACAGCTCTATCCCTCCTCCGGGGATGTGGGGTGTCTGGACACGGAGGTGGATCCCAAAAATAGATAGCCCCCCATGTGCATGAAAACATGACAAACATGCACTTTACAAAATGCTAGATGCTAGTGCATCTAGCCAGATGGGGGAGGAGGAGGGTTTGGAGAATCCAGGTTTCAGGTTGAAATCCAGATGAATCCATGCACACACTGAGGGAAGGCAGAAGATCTGGGTAAATTCCAGCCACATGTACAGAGACCAGCCCTTCTCACACACCTGCATGGCATCTGCTAAAGGCCACATTATAATAAGGGACATGAACCTTCTGCAGGGTGGGGCCTCCTGGGCTGTGCCCCACATACCATGACACACACAGGACCAACATGTGTGATTCCCCACCATGTGGGAATCACCATCACCCCAGAACACTGCATCAGTCCTACTGCTCATGGGCTGCACTGCATCTACTGGAACACCCCCCTCCTTCCATGGCTGGACCAGCACCTGTGGCTTCTCCTTCCTGGGCCAGAAACCCCTAAAGCTGATGCTGCATGAACTATCTTCACCATCCAAGACACAAGGACTCCTAGTCACTAGAAATCCCTGAGCGTGTCCTAGTGTCTGAACATGTAGGGTTCGGTTTGATTGCTATCCTTAATTTTTCTAAGACCCTGGAACTCTTCTCTGAAATATTCCTGCCCAGACCTGTCAACTTTTGCTCCCTTGAACCCCAAATTGAAAGAGTTTTCCCTACACATTCCTGACCCTGGAAAACAGGAGGAACCACTCCTGGGGGATCCCAAATGAAATACAACACTCAGCGCCTATGGGATTGTGGACACTGTGGGCCTGGCCTGTGGTGCTGACCTCCTCCTCCTCCTTCCTCAATCGGCCCTGCAGGGAGCTCCCTCCCGTCTGTCCACACACACTCCAGCTAGAATAGGGCCACCTCAGAGTCCACAGCCTCCATGGGCAGGGGGAGGCTGGAGGGGATAGCTCCCTCCCTCCCTCCGCTTCTTTACACCCTGACCCACCCTGTGCCCAGACTGCTCTCTCTGGGCCCCTTCTCCTCAGCCAACACATACACAGTCACTTCCCAGCCCCACACCCTCCAGACCTTGCCTTCCTTCCTGACAGCCACCTCAGGGCCTTGGGTCTCTTGAATCCTCATTGGGCGAGGCTGAGGGACAGAGGGGCTGAGCCCACGAGGACCCTGTGCTCACTCACCATCAAGGGTGCTCCTCTCCTGGGGTCTCCAGGCCTGTCCCCTCTCTTTATGGACCATTAAGCTGCTGTGGGGGGCAGTACCCACCCACTTTACCCATGGCACTCACCCACCAACCCCTCTGTCCTCTCATCCAGCCAGCCTCACTGACTTTGGAATCATCACGGCAATGTGGACTCCCTTCAGATATGTGGTTTGTTCTTTTCCCCCTCTAAATCCAGCTGATTTTATTTGATAAATTAGGCCTCATGCTGGGTATTCAAGAATCCTATCCTTCTTCCAATGCTATATTCCAACACTATATCCAAATCTGGAAGATGACACCCCAAACTAACATCACTCGTTATGGCTGCTCCCCTGTCTCTTGGAGTCCTCAGCCTCTTCCTGAGCCCCCAAAGCCCTCCTCTGTGGCCCCCACTAGATCCTCCTAACTACAAATCATGCCTGACACCAAAAGGCCCACCCATACTGTTAGGAGTTGGTGCCTCAACTCCGTCCAGGGTTCCCAAAGACTACACAGAGCCAGAGATGCAAGAGCAAAAAGGCTTTATTGCTAGCTTAAGCTAGGGCCCAACTCTGCCTGGTGTACTGACACAGCAGTCTCATCAGGTTGAGAGAGGGACCCCCTCCCAGAGCAACCAGCTGTTTTTGTACTTTTCTGACAAGATGCGGGGACTTTTCACACCAGGGACCAAGTTCGGCCTGATTGGGTATCTCTCCTTGGCACAAGTTAAGTTTCGTTTACCCTTGTCTTGTGGTTTTTACCCCAGTCTGGTGGTTTTTGAAATGAAACTAGGGCATAGCTGTGCCCTTTAAAATGCCTGTTTTTCTTAAAATGGCTGCTGTCTTGCTATGCCTAATTCTTTAATATCTTACAATACTATCATTACTATCTTGAGCTGGCATAACAGCAAAGCACCCACTTGGCAGAAGTGATTTTTCAATTTCTGTGACACAATCATCAATTCTCCTTCAAAGGGCACCTCGGGATTGTGAAAACAACAACAAAAGAAAAAAGGTGAGAACACAAATGTCTGCCCTGAGGTGGATGCCAAGGGTGGAGGCTGGGAGAGGCCCTTCTGACTTCTCCCCATCAATAGCCCCTCAAGGGCACAGGGCGCACCAGGAGTGCCAGCCACTAGAGGGCGCGCAGTGATTTGCTTGAAGGCAGTGTTACAGAATGTTCCACTATGTTCCAGACTATTCTGTCCAAGGTTCTAGGACAGAATATCTTATGACTATCTGTGTGATCTTGTTTCTTAAAAGGGAAGTGAAACTTCCTAAAAAATTAAAACGGCAGCCTTCAGCACACTTCTCAGGCCCTGGGGACCGAGGCCAGCAACAGGGACCGTGACCTGTGAAAATTAACAAACAGAAACCTCATTTAAACAAGCTCAGAGGCTGCTCTTAGGAGTTCATGCTGCTCAGATCAGGGGGCTACCCTCCCAAACAGCCCACAGTGGTTGATCATGGGTTATTATTAAAGCTTTTTAAATGCTGAGTCTTATTAACCGTTGAAGGAAAGAGACTCTTTAAGAAAAGATCACCACCCGGGCCTCCCCTGGTGGCACAGCGGTTGAGCGCTGGGTTGCGAGGCTGCCCACAGCCTCTGCAGCGCCATTTCGATCCCCGACCACCGGTGAGGGTCCCACAAAAAAAAAAAAAAAAAAAGGAAAGATCACCATGTGTGTTTATTTACAAGGAATGGGGTATTAGGTTGGGTTTTGTTACCCAGCTCTTCAGGGTGAAATACTGGGTCTGAAATGGTTTAAGGATCTCATGGAGTTTGGGGAAGAAGTGCAGTAGGGTCTTTAGCCCCAGCCATCCAGTGCCTGCACCTCAGCAAGCATTGTGAAGTGCCCCCTCAAACTCTGTACCCCATGGCTGGGCTCTTCAAAACACTATACTTTTCTCATGAGCTTTTACCTGGGGAAACATTGAGGGAAGTAAGACAAAGATATTCCTTTTGTTTTTCTCAGGGTATTTCTTTCCTGCTGTAGAAGGGCTCTTTCACTGCACATGACCTGTTTCAGGGGGTTGTTCCCCCTCCCAGAGGGGCCACTGCAGTCCACCTCTGAGGGGCACTGGCTGTACTGATGGCCCAGCCCAGGCTCTCCCCTGGCCTACGATGTGCCCCAAGAAGAAGGCCGCTGGAGCAGGCTCCTTTGAGGCCCTGGACACCGTCTCTGACATCAGACTCCTTTGACGAGTCTTGGGGTATCTCCATTGACAGGGCTGGAGAGAAGTGTAATATTAATTGTCAGGTCTGGAAATCTCTTGGTCTTTCCAGATTCTAACTGAAACCCATTGTCTCTTGTTTTGTTAACTTAAATGTGGGGAGTGCTGGCTTCACCATGGGCATGGAGTAGTAGTATGTCTGTGCTTTAACAAATTTACTGCTTTCTCTGCTGAGAGAACATTTTATCTCTTGCAGTTGCAGTTGTTAGCTTCTTCCAGAATGGAACACCCTTCCAACCTAATTGGGCAAATGGCAGTCTATGTATTAGTGAGGTCATCTAGCTTGTGTCTTTCTCTTTCTCCCTTGCTATTTTACTATCTTCAGGACATCTTACTCCTTCTGACTCACAATTTTGTCATCTTCAGGGAGGGATGTGGCTTTGCTGCCCCAGCAGGAAAGCAGGAGGCCCCTCCATCCTAGTACCTCAGGACAGCTCAGCAAAGAAAAAATACTAGAGTTTGAACCCTCAGTTTTTTTTTTTTTTATTTGTTTGTTTGTTTGGTTTATACATGCACTGGGTACAGTCAGAAGCGCGGGAGGGTGAGAGAATTCACCAGAGCCAGAGCGGGGAGCAGAGCAGGCAGAAGGACCGAAGTACACTGCTGAGGGGAGCAGCGGGCGGCAGGAGAGGTCTGCGCGCCATGTGGGACCCTCCTCCGGTGGCCGGGGAGCAGCCGGGGATGGAACCGGCGCTGCAGAGGCCGCGGGCAGCTTCGCAACCCAGCGCTCAACCGCTGCGCCACCGGGGAGGCCCTGAACCCTCAGTTTTCCAGAATAGACTCTTCCTCTGGAACATGCTTTCAGTTTCATGGAAGAGCACTTCTGCATCCTGAGGATTGCAGAAGGTTTGCTGAGACCCTGAGACCACATGTTCTCTATGTTCCACTGTTTTCAAACAAACCCCAAATCTTGTGAAATAACTGGCTACTTATCTGTTTGAGGTGAGCAGGCCTTGTAGACTGCTTTGACTTAAACCACCTGAGGTTAAAAAGGTACAACCTGATGAAATTTAGAATGAGGAACTTCAGAATGTGCAGAGTCCCAGGCTAGCCTGAGGTTTCCTGGGCTTTCTATCTGCTCTCCCTGCCAGGAGAGACTCACATTATTGAATTTTTGGGGTGTTTTTCTGCAGCTGTTGTTTATTTCAATAAATTTCCATTTCACTTCTGTTGAAATCCACAGTTATTTAATAAATTCTTACACTTCAAAAAAAATGTAACAGAAATAAAGGGTTCAAGCGCTATGCTGGTTAAAAATTATAGTGGTTTCAGGGGCCTCCCTGGTGGCACAAGGGGTTAAGCACCGTACTATGAAGCAATCCGCAGCCACCGCAGCATGAGTTCGATCCCCAGCTGGCTAGGGAGAAAACCACATGGCGCAACA